ACGCAGCCACTGGAGCCTTCGGTGGAGCCCCCTATCGGGCCACGAAACGCTGGACTTGGTGGGTGAAGCGCAGGGAGGAGGGAGGAGGAGGGGGAGGAGGAGAGGAAAGGAGGAGGAGGAGAAACGCGGGGCGAAGTCTCTTCAAAACGAGGACCCAACACCACAGGATGGTTGGGGAAAAGTCCTCCACCCGCCTCTCCTAGGGAGTGCGGCCGCCGTGCGACCGCCGGCAAAGGCGAATTGGAACGAGGGAGGGAAGAACAAACAGAGGAAGACAGAGAGGAGAGGGGAAGCTACCGAACCTGAAAATGCAGCCTGCTGTATGACATTTCGCGCAAATCCCAACATCGCCGACAAAGGCATTCAGAGTCAGCCTGCGATGCCGCTTCACAACTCGCGCCGCCATTCGTCGCTTGGGCCTTGGGCCGTGCCCTGCTGTGCTCCCGGCGGCCGGGGGGGCGCGTACTTGGGGCGAAAAACAGCCAACCGAATTTCAGCCGCGTGCGATCCAAGGGGTCCTGAAGACCAGCGGAACCTGACAATAACCCCGGGCACGGGGCGAGCTCCGCCCAGGCGTGGCCGTCGCATCGGCTACGCTGCTGGGACAGCCATAGGAAGAGGAAGAGGAGGAGGAGGAGGAGGAGGAGGAAGAGGGGGAGGAGGAGGAGGAGGAGGAGGAGGAGGAGGAGAGGAGGAGGAGGAGGAGGAGGAGGAGGAAGAGGAGGAGGAGGAGGAGGAAGAGGAGGAAGAGGAGGAAGAGGAGGAGGAGGAAGAGGAGGAGGAGGAGGAGGAGGAGGAGGAGGAGGCGGAGGAGGAGGAGGAGAGGGGGGGAGGAGGGGGAACTGCCATGCCCAGGCGGCCAGGACAGAGGCGAGCGGACCAACGTGCAGCGACGTGCACACCACGGACTCGGTGCGCCGCCTCAGCGGGAGTGCCCGCGACAATGCGCGCCCGGATAGGCCGGTACACAGTCAGAGTAGGGAGACGAAAGGAGGGGAGGAGGCCGAGGAAGGCGGGGGGGGGGGGGCCTGCCGTGCCCACAACCTATCGGCCACGCGGCCGGGACAGATGTGCGGCGAAATGCATGTCGCGGACTCGGCGCGCTGCCTCTTCGGGGGTGCCCGCGGCAATGCACGGCCGGATAAGCCGGCACACAGTCAGAGGAGGGAGAGGAAGGGAGGGGAGGAGGCGGAGGCCGAGAAAGGAGAAGGGGAGAGAACAAGGCAAACTGAAACAGAACACGCTGGGAATCAGCCTCTGGTTGTCCGCGCGCCCCGCGCGGCGAAAGCCCTCACAATCAGCTCCGTGGACCTCGGGTGGCGCCGCGTGGCCTCGCGAAGGTGGCCTCGGAAAGCGTTCGCGGCCTCGGCCACCCGGAGTCCGTGGCGGACCTGCCCGTGCGTCACGTGCAAGGCGCAAATGGAAATCGCCCTCAAAGCGCTCTTCTCCGCCTCCGCCAACGACGGGTTGCCCCACGAGGTCAGCGAGGACCGGTCGATGCCGACGATATCCTCCAGAGCGTGCTCCATAGACGGGCGCCGGAGGCCCAGGTACCGCGAGCAGCAACCATGGTAGGAACGGCAGAACGCGTAATGCTCAATCGCGTCCTCTCCGGCGCAACCCATGATGCGCGAGGAGCGGCCCTGAAATCGACGTGCGGTCACCCAGCCATTGCAGGCGGTCCGCACTGCTGCAGCCATGACTCTCGGCGCGACGAGGTCCGAGATGGTCTGGGTGACGCGAATCCATCGTGGCACTGGGTGCCCGGGCGGCAATCGAACTTGCCGGTGTAGCTTGCGCCGGAGATGTGCTATGGCTGCGGGGTGTAGTCTGGTCGGAGCAGTCGCGCCGCTGTGGCCTGCCCCCCCACCCACGGGTGCTCGGGGTGCTGGATGTCCAGCAAGACGTGCTCACCCGCGGCCGCTCCGTGCATCCGAATGACGGCGTCCTCAAGCGAGAAGAGAAAGTTGCTCTGGTACCACTCGTGAACATCGACGACGCGGGCGGCGCTGTCGTTGGTGACCGCGACAAGGCTCCGAAGTGCGTTCGCCCTGCTCGTTACCTGAAGCTGCCATTCTTGCAATTATCATCCACTTCGACTCGTGCACGAGCGGCAATAGACGCTGATTGGACGTCGACAGTCTCGCGGGGAAAGCCAAATGACGTCAGGCTTTTGAATAATTCAGAAGGCATCCCATCCCCGGGCCCGACAAACAAACGCCGCAGCACCTTGTTTTCGACTTCGGCAAAATTCGGCGGCAACTGGTCAAGCTGCGCGCAGAACAGGAGGACAGACGACGCGTAAATCCGGTACGCTTCGATCGTGTTCAGCATGCCCACGTGAAAAGATCGCCAGATCTCCGCGCGGTCCTGGCATTTCCTGAGAACGGCGTCCCAAGTGCACTGACCTCTCCCAGGACCGATGAAGTACCCGAGGTATTTTGCTGTGAACGCGACTCCCAACGCCCCCCAAAGCGGAGTGATCTCGGCCAGGCGCCCCCGCGCCTCCGCGAGGGTCGTAGGGAAGAGTGGGATGAAGACAGTCTTGCGAAGGTTCAGGGAGAGCCCTGCGACGCGCTCGAGATCGGAGAAGAGCCCCCCCCGCCACTGGCAGGCCCAAATGTCCGTGACTGCGAGCGCCAGGTCGTCTGCGTAACCACGAAGGACGCCGTCTGGAAAGAGACGCGTGATCCTGCGAAGGAGAATGTCGATCGCGGCCGCGAGTAGGAGTGGCGACAACGGGCAGCTCTGCCGAACCCCCCTCGTGACATTGAAGCAACAGTGCTTGGCACCTCCCATTGTGATGGCACAAGAGTTTTCGGAATACAAGCCCGTGATGTAGCCTCTGAGTCAAGCCGGCCATGCCGGGTGAGCGAAGACGCGGAACATGAACTCATGCTCGATGGACGGGAACGCCGCCGCGAAGTCGAGCAGCAGGGCCCCCCCGTTGAGCTTCTGAGCGCCGCTCGGAGCAGTGCCTCGCCCACGTCAACAGGGTCGGCAAGCGTGGAGCGGCCGCCGAGGAAATCGCGCTGGATATCCAGAATACCCTGGCTGACAACTGGCTCAATGGCGGCGCGGACCGCGTTCGAAATGAGTCGGTTGTCCGCGCTCGCCACGCTCAGGGGCCGGGTTTCCGCGGGCATAAAATAGCCCCCCCCTGTCGGGAGAATGCCGGCAGGCTTCTTGGGGAGGAAGAACATCCGGCCGGCGTTGTACTCCTTGGCTTCCTCGTTGGCGAGGCCCGTCTCGCCGTTCCCGTGGACGCACTGCGCCGCGTTGGACAATGGCGGCGCCATGCTAGAAAAAGGATTCCGTCAGGGCCTGGGGCCGCGTTGCTCGAGGTCACGAGGGCGTGGACCAAGTGTGACTTACGGAGCCGCGCCCGGGACAGCCGCGCATTGACCACGTCCGCAGGCGGCCTGGTGTCCGCGTCGTCCTCCAACCGCTGGTCCAGCAGCTCCACGTTGATACCCTGCGCCCGGAAGGTCTTAGACCAGTGTGCACCCAGCGAGCGAGCCGTGTCCTGACGATCTGCGGTCACCTCGCCGTCGTCTTCGAGGATGGCGCTGGGCGCGCTGCCCCGACCAGGGGCGAGACGAAAAATCAAGCGTTTTTTTTTCTGACGTGCAACCTGTGCTTCGAAAGCGCCCATGCCCGTGAGATCGGCGCGAGAACTGCGAAGCTGCCCCACGGCGTGGCCCCGAGCAAACTGGACAGCGAATTGACGAAGCCGGGCTAACTTACGGGACAAGTTGCCGTCTAAGTCGCACGGGTTTTCGACGTGGTGTCGGACCTCCGGACACCTGCTGAGACACATGGGGACCTCCGAGGGCCGAGCGCCCTCGATCGCCCGGATCGTTTTCAAGACAACCCCCACCTTGTCCCCCGCATCCTGGGCGGCAGGGATGACCGTGAAGTCATTCTCCAGCCGGCGTGCGACCCGGCGTGTGGAGGCCTTGTGCACGACGAGCTGCTGGAACGGCGAGGCCTCTGGGGATGCCGTCGGCGCCTCGTTGACCCCCAGCATCAGACGCCTCGGGAAATCCTTACGTTGGAGTGCACGCTGCGCGAGTGGGCGGCCAGGGTCGCCTGCCCGGGCCGGCGCGAGACGCGCAACGCGAACAGCACGATGGCGGGGCAGGTCCAGGCGCCATTCGAGGGCTGCGGCCGCGACGCGGCGGCCCAACTGCTCCACCGCGTCGCGGTTGAAGTAGATCAGGCCCAGCCGCGAACGGGCCGTGGCCGAGGAGTGCGCGAAGCCCCCCTGAAACATCTCGAACAAGCCTTGCCTCGACGCCACCGCGGTCTGGAAGTGAGCCCCCACCCGGCCATCGCGACGACCCGAGTCGACGGCGGTCCCCAGCGAGCCTCTGCCCGCGTCCTGGGCCACGTAGTTGAAGTCGCCCCCAAGCACAGTCAGGCAACGGCTCCTGTCTTTCACGATGTTCGCCAACAACTGGCGCATGTACCCGCGCATTGCCGGGGAGTTGGTCAGGCTGGCGCGGCGTCTGCGCGGGACGCCTGCTAGGTCACTTTCTGACGGGTTGGCACGGGAGCCGGATGGGAAATACACCGCAACCAAATCCAGTGCCCCCTGAGAGCCCCGGAGGCATAACTTAGCAGCGCGACCCCGCCATACATGATGCAATCGCGGCGGCTGCTCGAAGTTGCGGAGAAACTCGCTCTCTATCACAAAACCAACTCCTGAGTACCAGCCGTTGGGCCCTGCGACCACCAAGCGGAGCAGCCGGGTGGGGGGCGCCCGACTGCTCTCGGTCGCACTGCTCTCAGACGTGCTGGGCGTAGTGGTGCTGCTGGTGCCAGTCGTGCTCGCCGCGCCCGCGCCGTTGCTCTCGGTCGTATTGCTCGCCGACGCGAAGGGCGTAGTGGTGCTGCTGGTAACGATCGCGCTCGTCGCACCCGTGGCGCTGCTCTCGGTGGCGCCGCTCGCCGACGTGCTGGGCGTAGCGGTGCTGATGGTAGAGCCCGCGCTCGCCATGCTCGTGGAGCTGCTCTCGGTCGTGCTGCTCCCCGACGCGATGAGCGTAGTGGTGTCGCTGGCACCGGTCATAATTCTCATGCTCGTGGTGCTGCTTTCGGTCGTGCTCTCCGACGTGCTGGGCGTAGTGGTGCTGCTGGTGCCAGTCGCGTTTGCCACGCTCGCGGGGTTGCTCTCGGTCGCCCTGGTCGCCGCTGTGCTGGGTAGTGGCGTTGTCGGCACCGGTCGCGCTCGCCCCGCCCGCGGCGCTGCTCCCGGTCGCGCTGCTCGCCGACCTGCTGGGCGCAGCGGTGCTGCTAGCATCGGTCGCGCTCGTCATTTCCGCGGTGCCGCTCTCGGTCGTCTTGCTCGCCGACGCGCTGTGCTTGGTGGTGCTGCTGGTAGCGGTCGCGCTCGTCACATTGCTGGCGCTGCTCTTGGTCGCACTGCGCGCCGACGTGCTGGGCGTAGTGGTGCTGCTGGTGCCGGTCGTGCTCATCGTACTTGTGGTGCTTCTCTCGGTCGCTCTGTTCGCCGGCGTGCTGGGCGTGGTGGTTGTGATGGCACCGGCCGCGCTCGCCACCCTCGTGGTGGTGTTTTCAGTCGAACCGCTCGCCGATGTGCTGGGCGTCGTGGTGCTGCCGGTACCAGTCGCGCTCGTCACGTCTGTGGCAATGCTCTCGGTTGTGCTGCTCGCCGACATGCTAGGCGTAGTAGTGCCGCTGGTATCGGTCGCGCTCGTCACATCCGTTGTGCTGCTCTTGGTCGTACTACCCGCTGACATGCTGGGCGCAGTGGTGCTGGTGGTAGAAGCCGCGCTCGCCACACTGGCGGTGCTGCTCTTGGTCGTCTTGCTCGCCGACGTGCCGGGCGTAGCGCCGCTGGTGCCGGTCGTGCTCGTCATTCACGTGGTGCTGATCTCAGGGCCCTCCGATGTGCTGGGCGTAATGGTGATGCTGGCTGGTGCCAGTCGCGCTCGCCAGCCTTGCGCTGCTGTTCGCCGTTGCACTGCTCGCCGTCGTGCTGAGCGTAGTGGTGCCGCTGGTATACCGTCGTATTCGTCATGCTCATGGGCTGCCCTCGGACGCATTACTCTCCGTTGTGCTGGACGTAGTTGCGCCGCTGGTAGCGGTCGTACTCGTCGTACTCGCGGTGCTGCTCTGTCGCACTGCTCGCCGACAAGCTGGACGCAGTGGTGCCGCTGGTCCCCGTCGTGCTCGCATGTTCGCGGCGCTGCCTCCGGTCGTACTCCTCGCCGACGATTTGGGCGTAGTGGTGCCGCTAGTACCCGTCGTACTTGTCATACTCTCGTTGGGCTCTCGGTCGCACTACTCTCCGACGTACTGGGCGTAGTGGTGCTGCTAGTAGCGGTCGTCCTCGTCGTAGCCGTGGCGCTGCTTTCGGTCGCACTGCTCGCCGACGTGCTGGGCGTAGCGGTGCCGCTGGTACCGGTCGTACTCGTCGCACTCGTGGCGCTGCTCTCGGTCGTGCTATTCTCCGCCGTGCAGGGCGCAGTGGCGCCGCTGGTACCAGTCGTATTGGCATGCTCGTTTTGCTGCTCTCGGTCGTGCTACTCTCCGACGTGCTGGGCGTAGTGGAGATGCAGGTGCGATAGACCTCGCCATGCTCGTTTTGCTGCTTTCGGTCGCGCTGCTCGCCGGCGTGCTGGGCGTAGTGGAGCCGCTAGTACAGATCGTACTCGTCGTGCTCGCGGTGCTGCTCTCAGTCGCGCTGTTCGCCGACGTGCTGGGCGTAACGGCGCCGCCGGTGCCGATCGTACTCGTCATACTCGTGGCGCAGTTCTCGGTCGCACTACTCCCCAACGTGCTGGGCGTAGTGGTGCTGCTGGTAGCGGTCATAGTCGTCTTACTCGTGGCGCTGCTCTCGGTAGTGCCGCTCGCCGACGTGCTGGGCGTAGTGGTGCTACCGATGCCTATCGACCCCGCCCTAATTACCCGTCGTGCTGCTCTCGGTCGCACTGCTCGCCGACGTGCTTGGCGTTGCGGTGCCGCAGGTGCCGGGCGCTGTTGCGATGCACGTGGCGCTGCTCCCGGTCGTGCTGCTCGCCGACGTGCAGGGCGTGGGGGCGCGGCTAGTACTAGTCGTTCTCGAAATGCTCGCGACGCTGCTCTCGGTTGCACTGTTCGCAGACGTGTTCGGCGTAGTGGTGCCGTTGGTACCGGATCCCCTCGTCGCACTCGCGGCGCTGCTCTCGTTCGTACTGCTCTCAGACGCGCTGGCCGTAGTGGCGCCGCTGGTGACAGTCATCATCGTCATACTCGCGGTGCAGCTGTCGGTCGCACTGCTCGCCGGCATGCTGGGCGAAGTGGCGCTGCTGGTACCGGTCGCACTCGTCATGCTCGTAGAGCTGCTCTCGGTCGCGCTGCTCGCTGACATGCTGGGGGTGGTGGTGCCGCTGGCGCAGGTCGCGCTCGTCATGCTCGTGGTGCTGCTCTCGGTCGCGCTGCTCGCCGACATGCTAGGCGTGGTGGGGCCTCTGGCACTGGCCGCATTCGCCATGCCCGCGGTGCTGCTCTCGGTCGCACCCTCCGCCGACGCGCTGGGCGTAGTGGTGCCGCCGGTGCAGGTCGCACTCGTCATACTCGTGGTGCTGCTATCCGTCGCACTGCTCGCCGTCGCGCTGGGTGCAGCGGTGGCGCTGGCGCCGGTCGCGCTCGTCATCCGCGCGGTGCTGCGCTCGGTCGCACTGGTCGCCGACGTGCTAGGCGCAATGGCGTCGCTCGCACGGGTCGCACTCGCAATGCTCGCGGCGCTGCTCGCGGGGAGGATGAACACGCGCGCGCGCAACAACGCGCGCGCAAACGGCCAAACACACGCGCGCACCGCCCCGCGCCGGCAGCCGGGCGCCAACGCCCAGTTGCCGGAGGCAGGCGGGCCCTGCGGGACCAGGGGGGGCTAACGGTCCCATATTCAAGTAGAGCAGCCCCACTCGATGTCGCAATTGGCGCGGGATCAGGAGGGACTAACGGCCCCATTATCATCAGGTGCGCAGCAGGAGGGGGGAAGGGGGAGACAGGGCCAGGCGCTGTGGAAGGCGACAAACAGGCCGTACCCTAGAAGGCGACAAACAAGCCGCACCCGAAGCACAGCGCCAGGAGGCCTGCCAGGGACAAGAGGGGCGGTTGGTGCGGCACCCAGGGCGGCGGCGTCAGGGGGGGCGATCAGGGCAGGTCAGCGCCTGGGGCGCTTCCTGGTTCAGTTGTCGGTGCACCCAGAGCTGCGTGCTGGGCCGCCCCCGCGCCCCTCGCCGTCGGCCCTGGAACTCCTGATGCAGGGTGTTTTCGCGGCCCCAGTCGACGTAGACGCCCGCGTTCCGGGACCGGGCGGCGCCCGCGTCGTAGCCGCGTGCCATTTCGCCCGGGAAGCGGTCGATCATGTCGGGCTTCCAGCAGGACGGGTCGAACTTGACTTGGCCCGTGGTCTTGCCCTTTTCCTGGCCCACGCGCCTGCGCCAGGAGTGCCGGGCTGCGGTGGAGTAGAAGCCCCCCTCGACCTTCAGCCTTTTCAGGCGGGCGGCCGCCGTCTCGCTTGGGCGTCTCGGCCAGCGGGCGCGGCGGTCTTCCCAGGGGCGGATGTGGACAGGGCGGCGGCGCGGTGCAAGCGTGGACCTCGGCGGTGCCGAGGTTCCAGGACGCTGCGCATCGCTTGCGATTCGAAGGCGCGGCAACCGGCGCGGTGCGATTGACGCGTCGCACCAGGCTGCGCTGTCGGCATGACCAGGAAAAGGCGCGGGATCAGGGCGACTATCCTTCGCAATGGTCAGGCGCATTGGAGGATGGGAGGTTGGGGAGGAGATGGGGGGGGCCCGGGCGCCATCTCGCTGACGGTCAGCATGGCCAAGAACGGGCGCGGGCTCAGGGCGACTGGCCGTCGCGGCGGCCAGGGGCTGAATTTCGCCTTCGTGCTGCTCGGCAGGGTCAGGGCCGACCTCGCCCACGTCCGCTTCCGCAGCTGGCGCTGGTCGAGCCCCAGCACCTGCGGCGCCGCGCGCAGGCGGGAGGTCGCCATCAGGCTGCTGAGCTTGTTCCGGGGCAGCGCCGCACTGCGGGCCCCCGCCCCCCACCTCGCCCTCCGCCTTGCCATCGCGCATCTCGTCCTCCACCTCTTCCGCCGCCGCGCTCTCGAACTCGTCGTCCCCGTCGCCCGCCTCCACCTCCGCCTCGTCGATCGCCTCCTGCACCTCCGCCTCCCCCTCCTCCTCCTCCTCCTCCTCCTCCTCCTCCTCCTCCTCCTCCTCCTCCTCCTCCTCCTCCTCCTCCTCCTCCCCATCCGCCTTCTCATCGGCCTGGCCCCCCCTCCTCGGGGAGCCCCCGCGCGAGGCGGAGCCGGTGTCGCCGTCCGCGGCCGCGTCGCTGGACGTCAGCATCCCCCGGCTGAAGTCGCCCGTCGCGCCCTCGTCCTCAAGCCCGTCGGGCTCGTTCTCCACGTCTTCGTGGGCCATGCTCTCGCCCTTCACGCCGTCGCCGTCCACGTCCTCGCCCTCGTGCTCCACGTCTCCGTTCTCCTCGTCCTCCATCGTCTCCACCTCTGGCGCCCCCCCCCCCCCACCTCCTCGACGCCGAAGCCGGCGCCCTGCGGCCCGCGAGGGTGACCACGCGTAGTAGACGGGGATGCATTTGACGAGGAGGCGACGCCATCCAAAAGAGCGAGCGTGGAGCTGGCGGGGTACGCGAACCGCGAGGCGCTCGCAAGCTGGATCCGGTCCTGACTCCAGCCTGACATGCAAACCATCTCTGATCTATTACCACCCTCCAGGGCAAAGCGCATGCCCACCGAGAGGAGTACCTCTGTCTCTGCAAGAATGTCTATCGTCGTGGCCCCTGTCCCAAGGGGGCCGCGCGACATAGTCAGGAACGCGTTCGAAGAGATGGCGCCTTCCAGGGCTGCAGACGTGCTCGCGCAGCCGTGCTTCAGCTCGTCCTCCGCTTCCGCCTCGACGACCTCCTGCGCCTCCTCCACGTCCACCACCTGGACGAACATGCCGATGAGAGCCACCTCGTCCTCTAGGTCCTCATCCTCCGTATCCTCGTCCTTCGCGTCGTCGTCCAGCCTGCCCATGTCGTGGCCCGCCGTCACCGTCGCCGTCGCGTCCGCCCACTCCAGCACCTCCGCGCTCGCCGCGCGCTCGGCCTCCAGCAGCAGCGTCGCCCCGCCAGGCGCGGCCCCCGCCCAGCGTGCCGCTCCGGGCGCGCGCGCGGCCGCCGCGGCCCAGGGCGCGGAAGCCACGGGGCGCACGGCACCAGCCGCGATCTCGGCCGCCAGCGCGAGACCGGCCGCCGCCGGCCAGAGGCCGGCAGCAGCCGCGGCGGCGGCGGCCGCCGCGGCCGCGAAGCAGGCGGCGGCGGAAGCGGGCGCAGCCGCGCACGGGGCGGGCGGCCGCGCCAGCAGCCGCGGCGGCGCCCGCGGCGCCGCCTGCGCCAGGGGCCCGCCCGGCGGAGGCAGAAGGCCGGGGGCTGGGGCGGCGCCGGCGATGCGGGCGGCGGCCGCACGCCGCTGCCGACGCCGGCGAACCGCCCGCGAGGGCGCGGCGGCGGCGGCAGGGCCGCGGCCAGGCGCCCGGCCGGCCGGCCCGGCCGGCCCGGCCGCCCAGGCACCGCCATGGCGCGGGGGAGGGGCAGGTCAGGAGAAGGGCGCCCCCATCCCAACCTGCCCCAGGCAGCGCGCCCGGGGGGCGCGGGCGAGGCCGGCTCGGCTCGTCTCGAGCCAGATCGGCCTTGAGCCATAGGGGCTTGAACCGTGCTACGGACCTCCCCGCAGACACAAAAATCTTGTCAGAAGGCACGAGGGCTTCTGAGAAGCCCCGCTGCCTTCTGACAAGGCCTGCTCCTTTTCACTTCCCCCAGGGCACGTCGCCGAGACAAAACGGGGCACCAAAACGGGGTGCCTAATAATTGACTGCAGCGGCTAGTCCATGCCGAGAGCCCGATGGCCGGGTCGCGTGAATACGTCCGAGGTCAGAGAACCCTCCTCTTCTCCTCGTAGTCGGTGTGATCATCAAAATGGTCCCCCGCTGGCCCTCCGACGTGCTAGTGCGCTTCATGCTCTCTCTCTCTCTCTCTCTCTCTCTCTCTCTCTCCCCCCCCAGCTCTACCTATTTCGCTATGTTCCTCTCCCTCATTCTCTCCCTCTCCTTTCTGGTCATCGTCGCCGTTGGCACCCCGCGGTGTGGAGGCAGCCACGCTGGTCCCTGCCAGGGCCCAGAGCCGAGTCCTGAAAGCAAAGAAGGCGGAGAAATAGAGAATAGGAGGGAGAATAGGAGGAAAAGCAGAAGGCAATCCCGTCTGCCACTCCTGCGGGTGCGCTGCGTGGGGTTGGGGTGTGCTGGGAGGGTGAAGCATGACAGAGGCGGGTCCTGAGCGAAACGCGTCGTGGACCCCGAGGCAAGGACCAACTTCCAGTCCTGAGCCGTTTTTGACAGTCCCGAAAACGAGGAAAACCTCAAGACCTGTTTCACTCGGGACCCGTTTGCTTCAGGGGAGGACCGCCTCAGGGAGAGAAACATCGACCTGCGCGAATAGGTCGGCGATAGGCCCTCGATAGCGAATCCGCACACTCCTGGGAGGCGTGGGCCATCGGGCCCCCATCGGCGAACTAAGGGCGATTGGATGCCGATGCATCAGGAAGCCAACGCGTTCATCACACAGCAGCGCACATGCAAGGAGCCTGACGGGCAGGAGCGGGTTGAGCCGGAGCAGACTGAGTCTGCCTTGACAAACCTACGCTGGGCTGGGCCAGGCTGAATTTGACTAGACACAGAATTGCGCTGCTGGTCAGGGCTGAGCTGGGTTGAGCACCAGGGGAACTTTGTCGGGACACCTTCCAACATCTCGGTACGCAATAGGTGAATCATCGGAGATCAGCTGGAACAAATTCGAGGACATCATTGCACCAAATCGAGACACCAAAGGGACACCATCGGACAAAAACAGTCGAAACGAAATCGCAGCACAATTAAACCATGATCGAACAAATCTTGAACTACACTCCAGGACAATCCAACCCGCTGCCCGCTGGGAGTTGAAGCAGGAGAAGCAGAAGGAGGACTCCGTGGCCACTCGGGACATAGCGGTCATTGCACTCGCGCGCAGCTTTACACGCTTTGCAGATGCGTTCACACACTCGACCTCGAAATGTGCACGCACCTGTGCATCCTTACTTAATTGTAAGTCATGCGTCATGTGTCGTGTTTCGGGCATCGTGTGCTCTATGTCGCGCACCGAACATCGAGTATCCAACTTGATGTGTGTAAATATACGTGTGCCTGCGTGATCGTGAATCTCCATGTGATCGCAAACGTGTGCGTGCACACGAATATGCACATACGTGCACACGTACGTGTACGTGTACGTGTATGCACATGCCCATGCTAATGCGTATGCGCTTGCGCATGCGAGTACTCGAATATGCGCATGTAAATATGAAATGGCACATGTTTACGAACATGTATGTGGCCGCGTGAATGCTCTTCAGTATGTGTGCGCGTGTGTGTTTGTGGCGGGGGGCGCGCATATGCTTGTGCATTAATTGTGCTTGAGCACGAGTATGTGCATGTGCACATATTATATGTGGGCATGTCATCGCATAAGTGCGCGTGTGCGCGTGTGAGAGCATGTGCACGTTGCGCCAACCCATGTTCGCACGTCACGCGCCACACCGCCACGAATGGGTGCTCCGCCAGTGGGCCCAGCGCAGCGTCGCCCGCGTCCTCCTCCACGCGCAGCCCCGCGCGGCAGAGGCGCGCGGCCAGCGCGCAGCCGCCGGGGCGCCGCGCGTCCCAGACGCCTTGGAGGCCATCGGCGCAGCACACGCCGGGCCGGTGCTTGTGTGCTACCCAGGCCTCTGGAGCCACACCCACACCGCCAGCCGCCGCAGGCATCACGGCGCTCGCCAGGCACCCCACGAAGCACGACATCGTGCACTCGTCGAAGACGGGGTCCGAGGCGATGGCGAGGTCGAAAACCTCCGCCGCAACCAGCGCCTCGAGGTCGGCCGGGCATGCCCAGTCGAGCGTCCGGAAGGACACGGCGCCCCCGGCCGCGGCCACGGGCGCGGCGTTCGCGGCCAGGCTGCGCCGCAGGCTGGGCTCCGCGGCCGGCAGGTCCGTCAGTACCACCTCGCAGCCGAGGCACGCCGCGTGGAGCCCAACGTACCCCAGCCCCGCGCCCAACTCCAGCACGCGCCGCGGCCGGCCACCCCGCCCCGCGCGCAGGCGCGCCGCGAGCACGACGGCTGGCTCCCACAGGCGCCCTGCGGTGGCTGCGGCCTGGGCCTCCGACCCTGGCAGCGGCCCGGGGAAGCGCAGGCGGGGCCAAAAAGGCGGCGCCTCGCCGTCAGGGCCCTCTCCCCGGCTCCGCACCAGCGCCGCGATCTCGGGCACGTGGTCTGCCGCCGCCAAGGCTTTCAGTGCGGCCACGTTCGACTCCCGCGATCTCGGCCACGGTCGGACGGGCCGCCGCTCGCTTCGTCGGCCTGCGAGGCGGCCCAGCAGCGGCCATGGCAGGCAGCAGGCCAGCGTCTCCATGCGCTCTGGGCATCTAGCGCCCAGCGGTGGCTGCAGGCCGCCTGCTTGAGCCAAGATGGCTACAGGTTCATGTGTGCGCGTGTGCGTGCGCGTGCGCGCCCAGTGCCCAGCCGGCGCGCTCGAGCACCACCGTCCTGCATGTACCCCTCCATTCGTTCGGTTCCCTTTCCCTCACGCTTCCCTCGCCCCTTCGTCGGCCATCCTCGTCCCACCCCTTGCGGCTGCCCCCACAACGATTCTTGCTGCGCGGTTCCCTATGGGTGCAGGTTTACCCAGTACGAACAATCGCAGCTGTGAGCTAGGACCGCCCGCGCGCGACCGCCTGCCTGACTCCGCCGCGTAGCTGCGCGCGTGGCCGCAAAGCCAAAAAGTGTGTGAGAGCGTCTGTGCATGTGTGTGCGCATGTGCATGTGTAGATTCAGGGTGCCCGCACGCAGCCCAAACTGGCAAACTATGTCTATGAACCCCTTGTGCGAACTGGCTCTGCTTTTGGTGGCAGATCTCAGCTCTATGCGCATTCGCAGTGTTGCGCGATGTTTCTTATATGCCTTCGGAGTTGTCTATTCGCCACCGTGCCGCTGCGCTCGGAGTAGGCGTGTCCTCAAGTCCTTTGCCTAATCTCCCAAGCGTTCCTGAGGATCTTTAAGGGGCCCAGAGCCCAAATTCACAAATCTCCTGGGCCTTCCCGCGTCTTTTCGCATGACGGGTTCGGGCCCAAGAGTGCCCCAAGACGGGCAAAGAGGGCCCTGAAAGCGGTCCAAGAGGCCGCCGAAGGATCAATCCAAGACGCTCGAGATGGCCCACAGAGGGTCCCAGAGGCCTCCAAGACGCTCCCAGAGGCTTCCAAGAGGCCTCCCAAGAAGGCCCTCAGATCCCCAAATCACTGATTCCCCCCAAAATGTTCGAAAATTGTTGGCGTTCTCGGATTTTCGGGTTCCCGACGCTCCCAGACGGCCCGAGATGCCCCAAGATCGCCCCAAGCGGCCCAACAGGGCCCCAAGACGGCCCGAGGGGCGCCCAAAATAGCCGAAGAGGCCCCAAAGACAACTCCGAGGGGGCTCAGATGGGGAACCCGAGCGGACATTTCAAGCCCTCAGCCCCGAAGGGCCCCCAGGTTCCAAAAGGCTCCCAAGAGGCCCCCAACAGGCCCCCAAGAGGCCCCCAGGAGCCCCAAAACTGCCCCCGAGAGGCCCCCGAGAACGCCCCGAAGAGACTCCATGAAGCTTCCCTGAGAAACCTGACCCACAGTCCCGGCTCGTGGGGGATACTGAAACCGTTGGGCGCGGGCTTCCTGACCCCCCCCCCTCCCTTTCCCCCCCATGCACACAGAGACACATACACACAAACACACACACACACACACCGACACACACACACACACACACCGACACACACACACACACACACACACACACACGCACACACACGCACAGACGCACACGCACGCGCACACGCGCACGCACACGCACACGCACGCGCACGCACACACACACACACACACACACACACACACACACACACACACACGCACACACGCGCCCACGCACGCGCGCACGCGCGCGCACGCCCGCGCACACGCACGCGCGCGCACACAAACACAAATACACACATGCACACACACACACATCACACACTCACACACACGCGCGCCCACGCGGACACACATGAACACACGCGCACACGCGCGCACGCACGCGCACGCGCACACGCCCACACGCGCACACGCGCACACACGCACACACGCACAAACGCAAACACGCACACACGCTCACACACGCACACACGCACACACGCAAACACGCACACACGCACGCACACACGCACACACGCACACACGCACACACGCGCACATGCCCACACGCACACACGCGCACACGCGCACGCACACGCACACACGCACACGCGCACACACGCACACACGCACACACGCACACACGCACACACGAACACACACGCGCACGCGCACGCACACGCACACGCACACGCACACGCATTCGCACGCGAAAAACGCACACGCACACGCACACGCACACGCGCACGCGCACACGCACACGCACACCCACACACGCACACACGCACACGCACACGCACACACGCACACACAGAGAGACACAAACACACAAACACACACACACACACACACCGACACGCACACACACACACTCGCACGCACACACTCACACTCACTCACACTCACTCACACACACAGACACGCTCACACACGCTCACACACGCTCACGCACGCTCACACACACTCACACACGCACACACGCACACACGCACACGCGCAACATACGCACACACGCACACACGCACACACGCACACACGCACACACGCACGCGCTCACACACGCTCAGACACGCACACACGCACACACGCACGCACGCACACACGCACACACGCGCGCACGCGCGCACGCACGCGCACAAGCGCACAAGCGCGCACGCGCACGCGCGCGCGCACGCTCACACACGCTCACACACGCACACACACGCTCACACGCGCTCACACACGCACACGCACACACGCACACGCGCAACACACGCACACACGCACACACACACGCACGCACACACGCACGCGCTCACACACGACCACACTCGCTCACACACGCACACACGCGCACACGCACACAAACACACACGAACACGCGCGTTCACGCGCACACACGCGCGCACGCGCGCACGCGCACACGCACGCGCACGCGCACGCGCACATGCACACGCACACGCACACGCACACGCACACGCGCACACGCACACGCACACGCTCACACGCACACCCACACGCGCGTCCGTAGCCAGTTTGGCTCAAGGCTACGAACCGCCCGACGACCGCGAGCCCGTTCTCGGGCGCCTCTGAGCGGGAGGGGGTTCGCGTTTTGAGGCAACCACCAATCAGCAAGATTTTCTCTCCTGTGGCCGTCCTGGCCGTCAGCCTGCTTCTCGCGGGCGCAGCTTCCGAGTCTGCGATAGAGGGGCAATGGCGCCGTCGGCCGCTGGTGGGGAGCCAGGCGCTCGAGCAGCACGCCGCGACAAGTGGCTCTACAAAACGTGTCTGGGACCAGACCACAAGCCCTACGTCAATTTTTCTGACAAGCTGTGCTGCAACAATTGCGGCCTGGCCAAGAGCGTCGTGCACGGAGGCCCCGTCAAAGCTACATCCCCATCCAAGCCAGCGCCCTGGGCCCAAGGAGGAGCTCAAGGCAAAATCACGGGATCGATCTCGGCGCAGCTGCTGGAGATGCAGAAGCAGGCGCGGTCGCTCACCGCGGAGCTCAAACTGGCGAAGGCGAGGGCTCCCTCGGCCAGCGCGCCGACCACCGACGCCGAGAAGGGGGGCGATGAACCAGGGGCCGAATCGGCTGCCAAGAGGAGGCTGGATGAGCTCGACAGCCTTCTCAAGCAGCTGGCGGGGGTCGATGCCCCAGAGGTGGCCAAGCTGGTGGACCAGTGCAGGCAAGAGCAGACCAAGCTGCGCGCGCAGCTGTTCATGGAGAAGCCGCCCTCGCAGCGCATCAAGACCCTCGGCTTCAAGATCACCAAGGTCGAACAGCAGGTCACCAAGCAACAGCATGCTCGGGAATCGAAGCAGGCGCAGCTGGAGGCCCTGCAAGCGGAGATCGCCAAGCAGGATGCCGCACTCGCAGGGTCCCGCAAGCAGCTGCTCGAGCTCGAGGGGCAACGAGTCCAACTCTTGGGTGCCATGCCGCAGCCGCCCACGCAGCCGCCTGGAGCTGCAGCAGGACAAGACGAGAGCAGCTGGACGCTGCCCAAGCTGGAGCAGGTGCTGCTTGCTGCTGGGGCCGCTCCTGATCTGCAGCATGAGGTGGTTGCGATTGTGGGCAAGCTCCGCCAGCACCGACTCGACCAGCACCAGCAAGCCCAAACTCAACGGGAGGCGGACGACAGGCGGGCCGCAGAACCCACCGAGCAGCAGCAGGACGAAGCCATGGGCGAGGCTGCAGAGGAGGCCCAGGAGGAAGAGTCGGTCAACCAAGCTTCTGCTGAAGAGCTTCGAGATTCCCTGCGTGAGTCTGGCGCTGATTTCCCTGGTGCTGCAGACGCCTCGGGGGAAGAGCTGCGGGCCGCCGTCAAGCGCATCCTCTTGGCCAAGCCAAAGTGGAAGGTGGTCAAGAAGCTACGCACAATCTGAGGACCTCGCATTGCCGACCATGGCGAGGCAGAACCTACAGAATACCACAGTGAATGCCAATTCGTTTGGCACCCTGACCAAGTACCTGGTCGACTGCACCAGCGGCGTGGTCATCGCGCAGTAACACCACGCGTGCGCCGAGAAACTCCCTGAGGTGCAGGGGGGCGCCCAGGACGCGGGCTGGCGAGGAGTCTGGTGCCCCGCGCTCCAGACCACGGCTGGAGGCACGGAAGGCGGGGTGGCCGTGTTGGCCAAGACCGACACTGCCCTCACCCAGGCGCCCCTGCTGGACGACGGCATCACCGTGCCTGGCAGAGCAGTGGCTGCACATGACCATGCGGCAGTGCCTGGCGGCTTCGTGGCAGTGGCCCTCTACCTCCACACAGGAGAGGGCAGGTCGCCTCGCAACTTGGCGCTGACGTGGCAAGTCGTGCAGTATGTTAAGCGGGTGGCTGCGGGACCTGGCCAAGCCTGGGTGGTCGGCGGCATCTTCAATCTGTCCCCGCCGGAGCTGCTGGAGCACGAGTGGCTCCCACTGGCCAACGCCAGATGCGTGGCTCCACGAGAGCCGACTTGCATGCAGGCGGTGCCCGCCACGACGCTGGATTACTTCCTCGTCTACGGGCCCATGCTCCACGGTGTGGCGTTCGAGGTGGACGTATCGCAGTCGGCCACCACCTGGCCGCATCGTCCCGTCATGCTGACTGTCGCCAAGCACGCCGAGGCACCGATCGCCCGCGAGCTGGACGAGCCGAGGCCATTTCCTCGGCAGCAACCCGTAGAGTGCGCTCGCTTTCCTTGGCATGGCTGGGAACAGGTATACCTCTCTATCGATCAGGCACAGACGCTGCCCCAGCTGGCCACAGCATGGGACCTGGTCATACGAGGCATTGAAGAGGAGCTGGCGGGCAGGCACGACATCGTAGGCCAGCGCAAGCAGTACTACGTAGGCCGAGAAGGCCCAGTCCAGCAACGCGTGCGACATCTCCGGTGGAGACCTCCAGCCAGACGGGCCCGACATGGCCCCGACATCACCGCGTGGAATGTAGCGGCCAGGTGGGCCCAGCATGTCATGCAAGTTCGAGAGTATGTGACCAAGACGGTGGCCAAGCTCAACATCCCAGCGGGACCAGTTCAGTGAACGGCAAGGTGGCCAGGTGGACCCCAGGCTGCATGCCCCAACGCCGGCTGCGACTACTGGCCCAGGTGGGCTCGACGATGGCGAGAGCAGCCACACCCCGAGTGACCAGGGGCAAGGGCACGCTGCTAGTGAGGCCCACAGCGGTGGGGTGGCCGATGCCCTCACAAACGGAGGTGCTCCTGGCGGCCTGGTGAGGTGCTGCGACGCTCGCCCCGTAGCCCTCCCTGTAAGTCCGAGCGAGGCCCACCGCGGTGGGGTGGCCGATGCCCTCGCACATGGTGCTGCTCCTGGCGGCCTGGTGAGGCGTTGCGACGTTCGCCCCGTCGCCCTCCCTGTAAGACCGAGCGAGGCCCACAGCGGTGGGGAGGTCGATGCCCTCGCACAGGAGGATGCTCTTGGCGGCCTGGTGAGGCGCTGCATCGCTCGCCCCGATGCCCTCCCTGTAAGACCGAGCGAGGTCCACGGCGGTGGGGCGGCCGATGCCCTCGCAAACGGAGATGCCGAAGGCGGCCTGGCGAGGTGCAGCGACGCTCGCCCCGTCGCCCCCCCCCCTGTAAGTCCGAGCGAGGCCCACAGCGGTGGGGTGGCCGATGCCCTCGCACAACCAGCTCCTCTTGGCGGCCTGGTGAGGTGCTGCATCGCTCGCCCCGATGCCCTCCCTATAAGACCGAGCGAGGCCCACAGCGGTGGGGTGGCCGATGCCCTCGCACAACCCGCTCCTCTTGGCGGCCTGGAGAGGCGTTGCATCGCTCGCCCCGATGCCCTCCCTGTAAGACCGAACGAGGCCCACAGCGGTGGGGTGGCCGATGCCCTCGCGCACGGACCGAGGCGGAGCACCATGGACGGGGAGCTGGGCCCCGACGACGAGCTCGACGCAAAGTTAGACGACCAGGACCTGCACTGTGAGTTCCACCCGCCGCCGCTAGATGCTGAATCCCATCAGAATGGGCTGGTGGCTGGCGACCCACATGGGCCTGGTGGCGACATCGCCGAAGTGAGGCGCGGCGAAGATCGCCAAGTTCAGCCCGCAGATCGTGGCGAAGACCCTGATCGAGTGGCTGCTCGCATGCTCCAGGCAGCCTTCCAACGGGAACTCAACACATTCACGCAGCACTGGATAGGGGACCCACTCAACGACCAGCAGACCGAGCAGGATGTGCTTAACGACCGGATGGGGTGGTGTGTACCGTACACAGCCGAGGAGCTGCGCCGCCCAGTATACAACGCCCTGCGGGACGAGGGCGACTGGGATCTAGACTTCCCTCGCGAGGCCAGGAGGTGGCAGCGGGCTCGTGAGATGTGCGAAGAGGCCCACCGCTCTGGCAGCCGACGCCGCAGGCGCTACCGTGCCCACCTACAGCAGTTGCGCGACAACTCCCAGGAGGAGTGGGCAGAGGCGGTCGACATGCACCTACGCGCCTTTGAGCAGCAGCGGCAGTGGCTGGACCAACGCTCAGGCGAACAAGCAGGCCGCGCTCCCCCTCCACGTCCTCCAAAGGGCCGCACGAGGCATGGTCTTCCACAGCCTACAGCATCGCAGGTAGATCCACAGCTTGGCGGCGGAGCTCATCGCCTTCGAGAAGTTCTGCAATCGCATCGGCAAGCAGCAGCACATCCTCAGGCAGCTAGATGAGGAGGCTCGTCAGACGATACAATCGGGCAGAGAGCTGCTGTCGCGCAGCACCGTGGAGGCCAAGCTGCAGGACGTCATCGCGAAGGCCAAGCAGCTCACAGCAGAGGCGGAGGCGAAGTGCACCAGAGCCTGGACCTCTTGGGCGAGAGAGGCGTTCTCAGGAGGTGCAGGGCTTGCCCACCGATTCGCCAAGCCGAAGCAGGAGGTCGAGGTCCCCCGTGCCGACGTCAGTGGCCCCCCGCGCGACCTTGCCAACGCCGAGCTAGGCGACTGGAAGGCCAGTTGGGAGCACCACCAGCTTCGCGCGGTGCCACTGCCCCCTGGTGCTGAACATTTGGCCAGATCTCCCACATCTCACCGTGCAGGACATCCGCGGGGCTATTCGTTCCTTCAGGCTGGGCACAGCTGTAGGCCAAACGAGCTTCCACCCGAAGCAGTTGGATGTCCTCTCTGACGAAGCGCTATTGGCACGATCACTGCTATTCCATGCCTGCGAGCATCACCTTGGATGGCCGCCGCAGCGCATCGCTACGGTCCTGGTCAGGTTACCCAAAGCTGGAGGAGGAATGAAATTGATCGGGCTGCTCAACACGGTGGTCCGCCTGTGGAGCCGCGCACGGAGACCGTTGGCCGCCCAGTGGGAAGCAGCCCACCGAGCAGAGCACGCTTGGGGGCTAGGCCCAGGCAGGAGCTCGTCTGCCGCCGATTTCGCCCACAACCTGTCCACGGAGATCGCGCTGGCCAGGAAGCAAAACGCGATCACCATCATGGTATACCTCCTCAAATGTTTTGAGATGGTGGCGCCAGCCGTTCTGGTACAGGAGGCGAATGCAGTCGGATTTCCACCACGACTTGCGTGGTTACTGGTCCAGCTGCACTGCCAGCCACGAGTCGTTCGGGCCCATGGCAGCGAAAGCGACCTGTACACATCGTACCGAGGCATCGTGGCAGGGTGCTCACAAGCGACCACGCTGTTGGCAATGCTCATGCACAGGGCGATGCTGCGGGTCACGGCTTTGCGCCCAACGCTGGAGCCCAGACAGTTGGTGGACGACGTGACCTTACAATGGGCTGGACCCGAGCATCGCAGCACGACGGAGCTAGGCGATGGCATCGACCAGCTCACCCATGAGCTCGAGCCCCTCAAGCTGCCCATCCAGATCAAGAAGCTCGGCTACGTGGCCTCATCCAGCCGTGCCGCGCAGAGGTTTCGGTGGGCCGCACGGGCTCGTCGGGTCACGGAGCTACCATGGATTCGCAACCTCAGACATGAGTTGGGGGGCGCGCGTGTCAGACGACGCCAGGAGGCTGAGCGACTGGAGCAGCTCCGACGACGAGTGAGGCGGTCCATGGTCCTCAAGAAAGCAGTGGGGGCCAAGCGGATGACCCGACTGCAGACGGCTGGCTTCACCCCCTCAGCTGCGCACGGCGCCACCGTCAGCGGCATTGCCGACGCCGCAGCCAAGCAGATCAGGACGGTGGCGGCCATGGTGGCAGGAGTGCGACCGACGGGCAGCATCAGCATGGGCATGCTCATGCAAGACTACGCGCTGTACGATCCACTCTACCACGCAACCAGCAGCATCGCCTTCATGTACTCCACGCGCGTCCGGGAGAACCTAGTGCCGCTGCAGTCGCTCACGGACGTTTGGCACTACGTGGACGGCCAGATGCGCACACAGCCCAGCTGGGGCAGAGTGAGAGGGCCCGTCAGCGCCCTGTGGCTGACCCTGGCTCGTATTGGCTGGCGGCTCAGCTCGGCAACCACGTTCAAGACGGACCTCGGCGCCAACAGAAGCCTCCTGGAGATGTCACCCCGTGACGTCCGTGACCAAGTCAACCAGGGGGTCACGCGCTGGCTGTTGGCGCGGGCGGCGAGCCACATCGCAGAGCACAACGGCGAGCAGCTCTGGCACCGCGGCATCAGGCGGTGCGTCGAGAAGGCCGTTCGGGATCCTGCCGAACGAGGCTCGCTGCAGTGTGTCTGGACTGACGCAATGTGGCCTCGTCAGAAAAAAGTGTGAGAAGAAGCTCATATCTGACGGGAGATGCCTGGCATGCGGAACGGAGCGTGAAACCCAAGGCCACCCTTGGTACACGTGCCCTGCCCTCCTGGACCCGAACGTGCACAACTCGGAAGCTCCTGAGGCGGTGGTCAAGACCCGTGAGCGTCTGGCCCAGCAGGCCCTTGAGACTGCCATTGAGGATCCTCATGAGGCCCTTAGGTTCGCGTACGCCATTCCGCTCATGCCTCCTCCTGCTGAGACCCCGCCCCTGTGCCCCGAATTCGTGCACCACTGGGGAGACCCTGAACTGCCGTGGGGTGGCCGCCTGTACATTGATGGAGGCGGGTTCGGCATGGACACTCCTGAGATTGCCAGATGTTCTTGGGCCGTTGTCCAGCTGTGTGAAGACGGCAGGCCCTGCAATGCCATTTTCGGATCCCTCGCAGGGGTGCAGGCGGTGGCCAGAGCCGAGAGATATGCTGGACTGATCGCCACATGCCTCTCCCCCCAGGTCACCTGCCTTGTCTCAGACCATTTTTAAGTTTTGTGGAGGAGGGGCGAAGGTGGAGCCCGCGCGATGCGTCCGCCCCGGCTCGCCACGCCGCCCTCTGGAGAGCAATCCGCACCAACGTGGCTAAGCAGAACAGGAGACCGCCGCTTTTCGAGTGGATTCCCTCGCACAAGACTCTGGCCCAGGCTATTGCGCTCAACCTGGACCTCCAGGACTGGCTGGGGAATGGCTGGGCGGACCTGTTTGCTAGGGTTGCCCTAGACCTGGCCAGCCCTGCCAAAAGCCTGGTCCGCAACCTCAAGATTCGAATGGAGGAGGCCTGTCTTGATGCCCGTTTCATGGCCTGGGCCTCAGCGAGGGTGGCTAGCTCAGGCGCCTGGGATCCCGCTCAAGCTGATCCTAGGCCCCCCCCCCCCCCGTTCCTCGGCATCCGAAGTCCTTCAGGTTTGTCGCGCATGAGTTTGCGGAGCTCCCTGGAAGGGGGGTCCGTTGCATGGCGTGCAATCGAGTTGCTCGTGCGGCCGAGACCAAGCGGTGCCTAGAATCGTTCCCCTGTGTGGCGTCTCGCCTGGCCAGGCTTCGGGTCCAGGCTGCCATGCGTGCTGCAGGAATCAGCCCTGCCCCCCCACAGCCGTCGCCTGCCGTGGCCCTGGCCCTAGCGGCTGCTGCCACCGTGGCCGCCGCGTCAGCCCCCTCTGCGAAAGTTGAGGCGAGTCGTGCGCCCAGAGACCGAAAGCCCGACTCTGCCCCCCTTGAGGCCCCGCAGAGGTCCCGGCGCAGGCTGCATGGCACTCGTTCGGCCCAGGCTTTCGAGCGTGTTCGATCTGCCCGCTCGCTGGCCTCGACCGAGCCGTCGACCCCATCGCAAGGCTGGAGTGTCTCGGAGAGCGCTGGCGCGGATCCCAGTGCCTCCCCCCTCGGTGCCCCTGCTGGAAGCCAGACGGGCGAGGCCTGTAGCGCGGCCGCCGCCGATCGTTTTCTCAGTGCTGCTAGGGGAGTACCGTCTCCAGCCTTGCCCCCCCCCCTCCTGTGCCCCCCGTGGGTGATGTGCTGGAGGCCCCCCTGGAGGGGCTGGAGAAGGGTGGAGGACGGGATGGCGACCTGTCGACTGGCGGGGAGGCGGGGAGGGCGGGGGACCGTGCACAACGTACGCGGGCGAGCAGCCCTGCCCTGCTGACGGCGGCGCCTGCGGCGCCCCCGCCACCGCCTGCAGCGGCAGCGCGGGTCCTGCGCACGCGGGGCCAGGCCGCCCGCGGCTGCGCTGCCGCCGCGGCCGCCGCTGCCCAGCAGGAGGAGAGGAGCGAGGCGGGGTCGGCCTCGGGTGGGGCGGGGCAGGAAGTCGAGGTCCTTCACGAGCGGGGCCATGAGATTGTCTCTGCCCCGCCGTTCACCGTTTGCCGACGCTGTGGGTGCCTCTCGGGTAGGGAACTGTCGAAGGGTCTGTTACAAGAATGCACGGGACCCCTGCCTGTCCCGAGGTTGTGCCCCACCCCTGCTCTGAAGGAGAAGGCTCGCCGTCGGGACAGGTTGCTAAGTGGCAGGCGCCCGCACTCGGGCAAGCCGCTCTAGTTTGACAAGGGGGGTGTGTTTACTCGTCCTTGACCCTGGCGTCCGTGGGGTTCGGAGGCGCCCCTTTCGGTGATCCGGGGAACACCTGCTGA